GTCAATCGGGATGAGGTCGTCGTTGGTAGCTTCAACTTCTTCGTACCAACGCACCTTTCTGCTGGAAGAAAACTTGGACTTCTTAGACTTGCGAGGGGAGGTAGATCCGGACGATGATGAAAGGTACTCCTCGAACTTTTGTTGGTCAAACTCATACTCGACCTCCTCCTCGACCGGGATCGAGATCCGCGGCTGCGACGCAACGATCTCGGCAGCGAGATCGTTGGCTCCCACTGTGGTCGCCAGATTGTTCGCGGGGAAATTCGTTGCTTTCTTCATTAATGATTCCATTGTACACTCTTGTAATAGTCTATCGATTACAAAGATCCGGTCTTTTTATAAGATCCGGTTACAACGAAAATCAGATTGAAAAGAAATGAAAAATTACAACTTTGTTTCCTTTTTTGTCGAACGAATCGCGAGCTCCTGTTTTGCGGTCGCTCGCTTGTGTGGGTTCTTTGCCAGCGCCGGGGTTAATCCGTGGACCACCGCGCGATCTAGATCCGGTCGGATCTACGCAGTACAACGGGTATTATTTCACCAAGGAAATAATAGCCGGGGAGGATTATTTCACCAAGGAAACAATCGTCCAAGTCTCGGGATCTAAGACCAAGCTTAGATCCGGAGTGTAGCAACGTAGATCTGAGATCCGATCCTCTCGAACACCTGCCTTATTTGACGTTGATGATCGCCGAGCACCAGATCTGAAGGAGTGAGTCCCCGAAGTCCCAAAGTTTCAATCTTTTTTAAGTTCCGAGTCTCCAATCCAGCAGGGCTTCGCCTCTCCAAATCGGCTTGGGCCGAGCCACCCTGGGGTGGCTCGGTTTGAGCCGAGCCCCTCTGGGTGTGTGGGTTTGCTGTTTTCCGCCTTTGGTTCTATTCATGATTCGGTTCTGTGGTTGATTTATCCAGACTTGATTCATTGACCTGATTTGGCAGTAAATCCAGATCCTGATTAGGCAGTAAATCCACTTCTGAGTCTGAGTCCGAAACTGATCTTGATTCGATCATGATTCGTCCGAGTCCGCTCTCGGTTGGATGACTCGTTGACTCTTCGAACACTTGGCTTGATCCCGCACGCGAATGGACGTATTCCGTTGCTTGCGTGCGATTAGTCAATCTCGTTGCCTCGTTAGTTTGTCGGTTTGTGCCGAGCTGAGCTAAGGGACCTATAAGCAATTTTATATGCCTACAACTTTATAATACACTTGTACATCGAGAGGAGTGTGTGGTGAGAGACATGGTCGATACAAGAGGAGTGGTATCGATAGTAAAGCCTAGAGAGGTTGTAAATCCTAGCACTTGAGGGAGACGACACGTGAGAGACCAATACTTGAGGTTATGGTGTGTGATTACATTGTGAGTTATTGTGAGAGTTTTCGATGAGCTAGAAAACTGATT